ATTAAAAATGCAAACACTATTCAGCTGATCCTTTTTGTAGCCTATACTATTTGGTTTATCCAAATATAATAATGTATTCATCATCCAAATGAAATGAAAAATAAAAATATATAGGCATTACCGCATTAAACTATAAATGAAACTTCCCTAATATTATGATTAAAATAGGACAAAATTAAAGAAAAGAGAATTAGAACACTGATGTGCAGTGCATGCTATGACAATTTCTTTTTCTTTTTTATGGAAACTCTCATTTAGTGGGAAATAAATAAGCATATAAACATGGGTTAACTTGTCAATACAAAGCAACAACGACCTATGAAACTATATATATAGATGAGAGAAGACTAGTTCATATCATGGTCTAAAACAAAATGAGGATTTTTGACTGAAATGAGTGTTTTTCATGGACAAAAATGGACAGATTTTAAAACTTACAAAAGAAAAAACTCGTTTGAGATTTCAATTTTTAGTAAAAAACTCAAGTCCGACTTTAGTTTGTCAAATTTTCAGAATTATTATTTTTTGCTAAAATGTCAAAGCTTATACAAGACACGCACTTTAAGTTTCAACAAATACTTATATTAAGCACAAAAATTACACACCTCTATTACATTGTAGTATCTGTTCATATACTTTCTCAACCTACTGAAACACAAAGAGCCAATAACGCCTCCACTAAGGCTCGAACTTACAACCTTCCAAATGGAAGTCCAACCCGGATACCATTAGACCACATAGTCCTGGTACCTTAAATTTGACCTAAATGCAAAAAAATACCAAATTACCACCGTACTTATTTTTTTAATTTTGCTAATCCTGGACGTTGATTTAAGCAAGATCAATGGCTCAGATTTAATTGCATAACTGCACATGGGCGCACCAACAACATTTGAACCTAATTATATATATATATATATATATATATATATATATATATATATATATATATATATATGAGTGCGTTCAGGTGCGAACGGTGCAGCTAGGAGAGAACTCAGAACGCATGACATCTATCTAAGTGTCCAGATCTAATGGATGAGAAACAATGATTTTTAAAAAAAATGATGTGGCATTTTCGTAAATAATTGAGCATCGAAGTGCAAGTAAACTGTATTACAAGTTCAAATAAAATGTACTACAACTGCAAGTAGAAGTTTCATACAGTGCACCTAAGTGCAAGTAAAATGTATTACAAGTGCAAATAAAATGTATTACAGGTGCAAGTAAAATTTACACTGAGCATCAATACTAAGTACACATAATGTTATAACTAGTTGCACAAAATGTTATTATTAGTTGTACCTAGGTGCACAAATGTTAACAAGATAAATTACTTGCACTTGTAAGTGATTTTACTTGCATTTTTTTACTTGCAAAGGTGCACCGACTACTTGAAGTTATAACACATTTACTTGCACCAAAGTTTGAATTATTTATGAAAATGCCACCGTGCCGTTTTTTTTTTTTTTTTTTTTTAAATTACATCTGATTCGTTGATCTTGACACGTGGATAGTTGTAAATGGTTCTTATTTCTCTCTTGGCCGCTTGTGCAAGTAAAATGTATTATAAGTACAAGTAAAATATATTACATGTGCAAGTAAAATGTCAATACTAAGTGCACCTAGGTGCATGAATGTTAACAAGGTAAATTACTCGCACTTGTAAGTGATTTTACTTGCACTTTTTACTTTCAAAGGTGCACCAGCTACTTGCACTTGTAACACATTTACTTGCACCAAAATTCGAGTTATTTATGAAAATGCCACCGCGTCATTTTTTTAAAATTACATATGATTCGTTGATCTGGACACGAGGATGACTGTGAGTGGTTCTTATTTCTCTCCTAAGTGACCGTTCGCATTAGAGTGTGCCCCTATATATATACTAAACAAAGAAATTAGAAAAGAAAAGCACGCAGTAGTTCTTTGACGCATTTGTAAAGACAAAAGGACACTCGACAATCTCTACCTGTAGAAGGTGGTTTCTTTATGTCTGTCTCTTTCCATGATTATTTTCTTTTGTTTATTCCTTTCTGTATTTTTTGCAGGTGTGATTGTTTGAGCCTTTTCTACATTCTAGTGTCTTCCTCCTCCGCTGCCGCCACCATGAAAATACACGAATGGTTCTTCTGCACCTCTGAACCATTTTTTCCGTTGGTGATGATTGTATTTTATATGAAACAAATTGTCGTGGTTTACGTTCACATGGGTTTGATCTTAAGTGTTTTATAGGAAAAAAAACTCTAGGTAGAGGCTTCCATTAATTAGACTGTTTTGAATATCGAATTGAATAGGCTCTATTGTAGATCTCAATGTGTGTGGCTTTTTATATAGTATGAAGTAATATATATATATATATATATATATATATATATATATATATATATATATATATATAATTTTAATTTAATTTAATAATTAATTATTTGTTTGTTTTGGTTCCAACTTCCATAAAAAAAAAAAAGTGACTTATTCTACGTAAACTCATTACTATTATCATTACCAAGTATTTGATTCATATTATCACTATAATTTCAATGTTTGAACCAAACAAACCTAAATCTTTTGCATATGTTGTGCTTTTAAAGTGTTGATACTGTGCTAGTCATCATGTGTTTGCTATTGGTGAAGCTGATGAACAAGCTCTTATGAACTTGTAATATACTTATTAAACTTGAAGTGCTATTAAACTTGCACACTTTTTGTCATGCACCTTGTGCTTAGATGACATGTAGTGATCTTTCTCATGTGGAAAGTCATGAGATCGAGCGACTCTGCGTGCTTCATTAGGTTGAGAAAGTATGGATCGAATTTCAGTGGAGGTGTTGTTGACTCTGTGTGCTTCATTAAGTTGAGAAAGTATGTTTGAACAGATACTATAGTGTAATAGAGTCAGTAACATTCAAAAAAAAAAAAAAAAAAACCAAAACAAAACAAAACAAAACTTGCACACTTTAAATTTAATGGTCCAATTGCATAAAACCATCAAACAAGCAAATTAAATTATGTACAATAACAGGGTCGGATTTTAGGCTGTGCAAGCTGGGCTACCGCACAGGGCCCCCAACTTTAGAGGGGCCCCAAATTTTAAAGGTCCAATATTTAATTTTTACCTAGCTAGTTTATAAATAAAAATTAAAAGTTTTTAATTAAACTTAAAAGGTTCCATGAAGAGATGGTAAGAATGTGTATTTGTTGTATTTTAACTTGGAGGTCAAAGGTTCGAAACTTACATGTATTAATTTTAAAAATTGTAATTTTAGTAGGGCCACATTTATTTACTAGAACAGGGCCACCAAAATTTAAAATACGGCCCTGTACAATAATATGATAAAATGTTCCAATTGCACATATTTTGCTTATTTGATGGTTCAATTGCACACTTTTAAGTTCAGTGACATTGCACAAAATCAAAAAATTCAATGGCTTGTTTGACATTTTTTTCCTTAAAAATACAAGCCAATATTAACACATTAAAAACAAACTAATACCTTGATTGAAACAGACAAATTAAATTTGATTATTCAGATTTAACATAAATATTAAACTTTTTTTTTTAAACATTAAACTAATTAACCTGAAACATGAAAAAAAAAAAAAAAAAAAAAAATCAAACACACATTAGAACAAAAACAAAATCCAAAGTAAAAATTAAAAAAGGGAAAATGACACTTTTTCCCCTGAGTTATATACTTATAGCACTTTTCTCCCCTTAATTATTCAAGTGGTTGTTTTTCCCCCTAAAATGATAAATGGACATATTTACCCTTAAAATAAATATTTTATTTATTTTTCTTCTCCAACAAATTATGACCATAATTTGGTTCAAACCAAATAAACACTATAGCAACCAAATCGAAATATTCCAATTACAATTTAGAATCGAAACTCGATATTTAGAGTTTATTAAAATCTCGGAACGGACGGTTCATGTTCCGAACTGAAAAAATAAAATACATTTATTGTTGAATTTAGACTATTTTTAAAATAAAAATAAAATTTTAAAATAAAAACGGTTCAAAATCGCGAATCGGGTCCGGAACCGCCAGTTCACGGTTCAGGATCCAATTTTTTTGATTCATAATTTTAATAAATTGAAATCCAAATATTGGGTTCTAGATAGGGCTGTGCAGAATCCGAGAAACCCGACCCACCCGCCCAACCCGACAACCGACGGGTGAGCCCGTTGAGCGGCCCGTATCCGAAGACAAAACCCGAACCGAGTGGCCGTTTTTAGCCGGATGAAGAGGGTTCGGGTGGGAGGCATTAAACGCCACCCGAACCCGTCCGAGAAACCGATGAAGCCTAGGGTTTTTTTACCCTTATGTAATACGACGTCGTGTGTTATATGTATATATACTATCCATTCCGGTCAGCGCAGCCGAGCTCCCATTTCAGTCTTCTCTCAAGTCTCAATCTCTCATCTCTCATCTCTCGTTCTCTCTTTCGCTCTGGTCTTTGAGTCTTACTCTCTAAGACTCTGAGTTCTCAGACTACTAAAATTTCGCGAATTTCCGACGTACGAAAATTCGTCAGTAAAATGTTGATTTGCGTCGCAACTAAGCTTTCCGACAAATTTTCCGACGAAAAATGGAAGTCTGAAAATGTCACCTCTGTAAAAATGGATTCCGACCACATATGTCGGAAATTTCCGACGTGCAGAAATTATGTCGAATAATCTGTCGCTAAACTCCGGCAAGAAACAATCCCAGAATTTTGTGGTCCAAATCGTTTCCGACGCACAGGTATGTCGAAAATTTTATATTTTAATTATATATATAATATATTACCGACATAACATTCTTGGGTGAATTTAATTATGCAGGACTTTTTCTGTTGAACTCCTCCGTCGGTAAAGAGCATTGGAAACCCAATAATAATAATAATAATAAATAAAAATCCTACAGCATGCTAGCCTGCTAGGCTTCACATGCTAGGCTTCTACACACTGTACCTGTAGTCATTACAATTTTTTTTGGCATTGTCAATAACTGTAGTTATCAAAACAAACATATTATATGCCTTCAATTGGCTTGAACATAAATCACTAGATAATAAGTTCTAACAATGTATACATCAACTATTCAACTAAAATCATTAAAGATTCATGATCTCAAACTAAATGTTTAGAGAATCCCAAAGAAGAAGACAAACAATCATGGAGCCATTATCACCTTGGCAGCTTGATCATCAGCCTTGCATGTTTCAATATAGGGTTGCTTTATGTCCAAATTTAACCGTTTCACTATCCAAGAAGAAAAGAATAAAGTAAATAATTATGTCAAAACTCAAAACTATTCCATTAATAAAAACTAATAAATCAAAACAATCTGGAAAATAGTTTCTCAAAACTACCAAACTCAAGAAGATCCACAATTTATGCATGTCCATATGTCCAAATATTCTTAAAATTAAAATGATTCCAAGACATGAGGAAATATTAACGTATAAAGGTCCGCATTATCTTATAACTTATAAGCATGTATGGTCAGGCTCTTGATATGTCACTAGAAATAACAGAGATATTTAAACATAGGCAGACCATTTAGATATCTCTCATTAGAAAGTTCAAATTGCTAAATGAAAGATGACTTTACAACAGTAATCAGAAACAAATAAAAAGTAAAAATATATACTAAGAGACAAGACTTGCTCACTTGCCTAGTAATATTGTGAACATAACGAACATGTTGGCAAAAGTACAAATGTCATTGTGCATTTGATATTTACCAGAAGCTCTGTCAAGTTTTGGGAGAGAAACAAGGTATGTCTTGGAAGCTTCAACTCCTCATCGTATTGTACCATATGATCTGCCTGGAAATTGAAGGTCACAGCAGGTCAATAGCATCACCATTTACAATAACCCTAACAAACAATAATTTTTTCGTAGTCATCAACAATAACAAATGGAAGTAACTCAAGTAAGTACTGATCATTTGTATCATGGAAGTGGCTCAAATTATGTACTATCAATCAATGAACAAATCAGCTCAAGCTTATAAAATATCTTCCTCTTTCTTCTGCTAATACCACCCTACTACCCTGTCTCCAACCCTTTCACCTTCATTAGGAAGGTGACAAAATACTATAGTGAGATAAAGCAATGGAAAAATATTGTATTTTGCAATTCAAGTGAATGATTAAACAAGTTCATAACTTAAAAAATATATATATAATATGCAACTTTACAATGGTCATATTGTCACTCTTTCTATTTGCCAAAGACCAAGCCTGAAGCCTCATTTTCCATGTGGTAACATACTGCTATTAAACTTCATTATTTTAGCCTTCATTCTATTAACTTATCCTTCATAGTTCAAGAAAAATATAAGGCCAAATTTTATACTTTAAATATTTTAACCAGCTTCATTATTTTAGCCTTCACTCTCTTAACTAGATTAATCTTTCTCTTATCCCCTTGTTAATCTGTTATCCTTCTTAGTTCAAGAAAAATATAGCCACATTTTATCCAATATACAGTATAGGGGGTCGATAGATTTACCGGTAATCCACAGTGAATCAGCCAAATTAAAAACTCATAAGCATAATCCAGTAATCCACAGTGCATCAGTGAATCATATCAAAATTAAAAAAAAAAAAAAATCACAAAATTAGTGCAATTAGGAAAAAAACTATAGTAGCAATTGAATTAGCCAATAAGGCTTATTAGGGTAACTTCAAAATTAGGGAAATTAAGCAAAAACAAAATTAGAGAAATTAGGGCAAACAAAAAATTAAGAAAATTAGGCAAACAATTGAATAAATTATTGAAATTGACATTTATAATTCAAGGGATAGATTGTGAGAAGTTGATGTTCATTAGTAATGGAAGAGTCGAAGAACTGAAGAAGGCCAAACCTGGTGGGAGTGGTGGCTGGTGTCGAGGCGACTGGCGAGGTTGTGCAAGGGCGCGAGGTGACTGGCGAGGTTGTGCGAGAGCGCGAGGCAGAAGCGGCGAGGCGGTGGACCGGCAGGAGTGCTGCCGTGGTGGGCGCCTGCGCGATACACGGTGGCGACTTCCAAATCGCAGAGGAAGCCGGAAGAAAAGAGCGATGCTTTGTGTGGAGAACAAATGAAAAAAAAAAAATTATATATATATATATATATAACATCCCAAACGACGACGTTTTGGGCTGTGTAATTTTGGCCCGTACTCCCTCCGCCACTGTTTAACACGCTGCCGGCTATTCTTCTAATAATTAACGACAAAAACTTTGGTTGTCGGTTATGTCCATCGGAAATGACCGAATTTTTAGTAGTGTCACTTCTCAAATCTCAGTTCTCTCAGTTGTAGTCTGGTGGAAGCCCTATTCGGAGACTCGGAGTAGCGACTAGTCTGGACTCTGGTGGAGTGGTGGAAGCCCTAGACCCTAGTCCGGTCACCGGACTCCGGTGGAACTGTGGAACGGTGGAATAGTGGATCCGAAGCCCTTTGTTCTCGAGGGATTAAATTTGAGAAACGAAGTAATTACTAAACCCTATTTTCATTTTCGTTATAGATTATTGTGCATTTGTCTTCTTGATTAGGGTTTCTAATTTTTATGATTATGTGAAGTTGTGGACTGTGATACTTGTAAATCCGTTGAGAAGTTCCTGATTGCATGTCACTAGTCCTTTGAGTTTGAATTTGTGAATTGTGTGATTAGGGTTTCTAATTTGTAACATAATCTGTGGACTCACTGGACTATAATACTTGTAAATCCGTTGAGAAGTTCCGGATTGCATGTCACTAGTCCTTTGAGTTTGAATTTGTGAATTGTGTGATTAGGGTTTCTAATTTGTAACCTAATCTGTGGACTCACTGGACTATGATACTTGTAAATCCGTTGAGAAGTTCCGGATTGCATGTCACTAGTCCTTTGAGTTTGAATTTGTGAATTGTGTGATTAGGGTTTCTAATTTGTAACCTAATCTGTGGTGGAAGCCATACTGCCCTAGCCCCTTGCCACTGTGGAAGTGTGGAACTCAGGAACTGTGTGTGAAATACTGAAATCCTTATAAATGTTAAGCATGATGGTATTCTTGTGGAAGCCATATAAATGTGGGAGTGTGTCTTGTACTCATGTGTGACTGAAATCCATATAAATGATGAGCATATAAAGTAGCATACATCTACTTAGCTTGAATGCCTGATTATGGATTTCATTGTAAATTGTAATTTGTAAGTTGTTAGTTACTTAGTTGTAAGTTGTAACTGTGAAAATGTGAAATTGTAAGTTTATGGATATGTGACCCTTAAATCATTTATGTGCAATTCTGCATACATGATGAAATGTTTAATTCACTGAATTCTGCCTGATTAAGTGTTTAACACTTTAATTAATTGATACATGTGTGTATGTGACAAAGCCCATTCTCTGTTGATGATTTTCAATGAGTGATTTCCCATTCTGTGTCACTGATACTTTCCCCTTTTTAGATGGAAAGTGTTAGTGGTGTTACTGGTGTATCTGGAACCCAACCTGAGTTGGAAGCACCTGCTATAGAGACTGTTACTCCTCAGTCTCAGCAGCCTTTGCCTCCACCTGTTCCAAAGAAAAGGAAAGAGGTTGAATCCAGGGCTCCATGTTGGGATCACTTTGAAAAGATCAAAGACAGTGATGGCATTGTCATCAAAGGAAAATGTATATATTGTGCAAAAGTGTATTGCTGTGAGAGCAAGAAACATGGGACTTCTTCTCTCAGACTTCATGTGGTAAACTGCCTTAAAAATCCTCACTCTAAGGAGACAAGGCAGTCCCTACTCACATTCCAACCTGCACCTTCTTCTGCTGGAACTCAAAGTAGTGAAGGAACTGAAGGGGTGTTGGGTACTTGGGTGTTTGATCAAGACTTGATAAGGAGAGCCTTAGCTGAGATGATTATTTTAGATGAACTTCCTTTTAGGATTGTTGAGGGACAGGGTTTTAGAAAGTTTGTTTTAGTTTGCTGTCCTAGGTTTAAAATCCCTTCAAGATGGACTATCAGTAGGGACATTTTCAAGATATTTTCTGATGAGAGGGTCAACTTGAAGAAGTTTTTTAGGACTAGCAGTCAGAGGGTAAGTATCACAACTGATACTTGGACCTCAGTCCAGAGAATAAACTACATGTGCATAACTGCACATTTCATTGATAGTGAGTGGAAGCTGCAAAAGAAGATTATTTCATTTGTTCCTATATATTCCCACAAGGGGGAAAGTATTGCAAAGGCTTTAGAGAGTTGCCTTTTGGACTGGGGTCTAAAATCAGTGTTTAGTGTGACAGTAGATAATGCTTCCAGCAATGATACTGCTCTAGGATTCTTGAAGAAGAAGTTGGGCTCTTGGGGTTGTACTGCTGTTAGGTGTAAGTATTTGCACATGAGGTGCATTGCTCACATTCTTAACTTGGTGGTACAGGATGGGTTGAAAGAATGTGACAGTTCTGTTAAGAAAGTCAGGGATGCTGTTAGGTATGTGAGGAGCTCACCTGCTAGGTTGCAGAAGTTTAAATCACTAGCTGATCTAATTGGGGTGGAAGCTAAGAATTCTCTGTGTCTAGATGTCTCTACAAGGTGGAATTCCACATATATGATGCTTAATACTGCATTATTGTTTCAGAAGGTATTTGAAGCCTATGATGATCATGACAGTTCATTTAAATTTGATTTGGTGGAAGTGTACCTGATTTCTTAGATTGTGAATCCATTCAATCTTTGGTTATGATTCTGAAATCTTTTTATGAAATGACTGTTAGGATTTCTGGATCATTGTATGTGACTTCTAATACCTTCTTCTCTGAGATTTCCGATTTGTCTTGCTTGTTGAAAAATATGGAGGAAGCTACAGAAGATAGTGTTAAACTGATGGGTAAAAATATGAGGGCAAAATTTGATAAGTATTGGGGTGAGCCTGAAAAAATGAATTTTTTGATATTCTATGCAAATATCTTAGACCCCAGGGACAAAATTGAGTATATGCCCATTCAGTTTAACCAGTTATATGGTGAGGAAAAGGGTAAAACAATGTTTGATAAGGTGATTGTTGGCCTTAAGGAGTTGTTTGAAGATTATGTTGCATGCTTCCCTGTCCAGTCTGTTGAACAATCTGAAAAATTTTCTCCATCAATAACAATATCTGATTCTGTTTCTGTTGGGAGACCTCAATCATTACTGAAATCTCAGATTAAGAAGCAAAAATTGGTGAGTGGGGATTTGTCTAGGAAAAAAACTGAGTTGGAAGTGTATCTCTCTGAGGTTATTGTGGATGAGGATGATTCATTTGACCTTCTAAGATGGTGGAAGCAACAATCTGAAAGGTTCCCTGTCTTATCTAAAATGGCAAGGGATATCCTAGCTGTTCCAATATCAATTGTTGCTTCAGAATCAGCATTCCGTACAAGTGGAAGGGTACTTGATGCCTTTAGGAGTTCCCTAACTCCTAGAATTGTTGAGGCATTGGTGTGTGCACAGGATTGGCTAAGATTAAGCAATCAACCAATCTCAATTGAAGAAAATATTGAAGATGTTGAAAGGATTGAGAAAGGTATATACTTCTAACTTCCAGCAATGATCTGTTTAAATGTTTAATTGTTTAAGTTCTAATTTCCAGTTTGTTTTTGTACTGCAGAGTTGTGCAGCACATCCAGCACTGGAACTGGAATGCCTACAATTGTTGTATGTTTACAGTTTCCATTAATTTATTTTGAAATCTGAATTTGTGATTACTTATTTGATTTGATTTCATGATAAATTTATGCCTCTGTATCAGTGTATCATGTATTCATGTATGTGTATCATTGATTCAAATCAATGTCCCTCAGAGGCTGGGAAGTTGGAACTGGAACTGGAAAGTGCTCATGGCTAGGTAACATTTTAAATGTTGCTGCCATTGAGCTCAGGTATCAGTATAAGTACTGACTAAATGTCTAAATGTGACTTCTGACTTCTGACTCACTACTCTTATAACTGTATAACTGTTCATTATTGTGCTATGATGATGCTTCCACCATGTTCTCTGAATATATAGAATTGGGTTTGGTCTGTTGCCTATGAAGTGTGGTGTATGCCATACTCATTGAGTAGTGTTCCCCCAATCCTAAATTGATATGGAAAAAAAAAAAGTATCTGAGCACTCTTTGAGTCTTTGCTATTTAAATATAATTCATTAGTTGTTCCAATATAAGTATTATTGTGCTATGATGATGCTTCCACCATGTTCTCTGAATATATAGAATTGGGTTTGGTATGTTGCCTATGAAGTGTGGTGTTTATGCCATACTCATTGAGTAGTGTGCCCCCAATCCTAACTTGATATGGAAAAAAAGCTATCTGAGCACTCTTTTAGTCTTTTACAGTTTCAGTTTGTGTGATTGTGTCAATCCTATCTTCAAATGTTTTGAACTTATTGTGTTTTTATGTGTTCACTTATCAGGAAGAAGAATAGACTAATAGAGACATAGAGTACTCTATATTATATTAATCATATATTCATATATTACTTTTGGAGTTTTGGATATCTGGCTTTCTTTTGCTCAATGGATGAAACATGAAAGCTGAAGGCTAATGTGCTGATTGGAGAATGGAGACTGATGCTGTTGCCACTTGCATGCTTGCCTAGTTGCCTGCTTGCCTTGGGAGTTTGGAGAAGATTGTTATATTTTTGCTAATTTGTAACTTGTAATTTGTAAGCTAATCTGCTGATTATATGTAAGCTAATTTGTATTTTGCTGATTATATGTTTACACTTTTATAAGTTTACTTATGTTATTTTTGCTGTTAAGTAGTTAGTACTTACTAGTTAGTGGCTTTTAGTACTTAAGTTAGTTAAGTAGTTCATTAGTTAGGTGTTCCATCATCTATGAATTGAATATTTGATTTTTACATTCTGATAAAACCGAATTACCACACGGATATCCGACCGATCCGATCCAATCCGAAATCAAAATTAACCGATCGGATAAGTCAACCAAAAAAAACGGTTAGGGTGGTCAAATTAGAAATCCGATATCCGACCGGAGGGCTCAGTCCGCCATCCGAACCGTCCGATCCGTCCGACTGCACAGCCCTAGTTCTAGATCTGAATCATAACCGGAAACTTTTAATTCGATTGCTATAGTGTCCGATTCAGTTCGAACCGAATCGTAGACATCCCTACGTATACGCAATAATTTGTTGGAGAAGTAAAATAAATAAAATGTTTATTTTAAGGGTATAAATGTCAATTTAATATATTAGGGGGAAAAACAACCACTTTTAGAATAATTGAAGGGGTTAATATGCTTACCTAAATAATTGAGGGGGAAAAAATGCTATAAGTATATAACTCAGGGGAAAAAGTGTCATTTTCCCATTAAAAAAAAAAAAAAAATCGAAGAAGCTTCATTAACGCCTAATTTTCACTCTATCACTTGTCCCCTCCATATAACTCAATAGAAGAACAAATACTCAATCAGAGGAAAAGGAAGACAATTTGGACAATGATCATTGCAGCCAGCTGAGCAGAAGATTTTCGCAATTTAACGTGGAGACAAGATGATTTAACATTTTGACACATAGAGAAAATGATTTACACAATTTGATGCAGAGATTACACATTGTTGATGCCATTAATGGCGGAAAAAAACCCCAAAAAATTAAAAATAAAAATCAAACTACTTAATTTGTTGAATCTTGGTCCTATTGGTTTGATCACTGGGTTCAATATATGAATGTACAAATCTAATTCTGTTCGTTTGTGCCCAGAATAGTAACGTCGTTGAAAAAGCGAGAACAAGTATAAACAGAGCAGAAAGACTGCAAAACCATGAGCAACAAGAGCACAATAGTTGCCAATAAGGTGAGGAACTGCCACGATCCAAATATGTAAGACCTCATGAATCTCTTCGTCTTCACGTTCCACCTGCAATTGTAAAACTTGTTCACATCGTCGATCGTTTTATCCAAGAACGCCACTTTCGTCAACCTCACAGATTTGTTCATTCCGTTCCACAGATTCGCCACCTCCGAATCGCTCTTCAGGCGGTTCAAAATGATCCCTTTTTCTCTCAGAAACTTCACGTCCTCGTCGGTGTCCACGATCCCGTTCATGAATTCGGTGTAGCGTGCAAGGACTAATGGGCCTTTGGCGATGCAGGCCTCGTAGGCGACGAGGTTTCTTAGAACCACCTCGGAGTTTATGTCGAGGGTGACGACGGGGAGATAGAGGGTGAAGGTTTTGGCGTCGAATTCGATGCTGAGGATGCCTTTTTTGGTCGGGATAAAACGTACGCCGGCGTTGGCTAGCTCGGTGACGGAGGGGATGGTGATTTCCTCGATCGACGGGGGTTTATCGGCGTTGTCTTTGGAATCGGAATTCTCGTCGCCGTCCGGTTTTTGGCCGCAGGAAAATAAGCTCTCAATCGGACCCTTCATCACGTTAAGCCCCGGCAGCTTGGTGATGGCTTTCCACGGCATTAAAAGGACGGTTTTCACCGGAGCTAACGACGAAAGTCTCTTTAAAGCTCTCGCGGGGCCTTTGTTTAGCTTTTTAAGGATACCCCAAACCTGACCAAAAGCACTCTTGACATAACCTGAATTCTTCAAGAACTCATCCTCTTCTCCATCTTTCTTCTCCTTCATTCCCCCATTTTCATCAATCTCTATTTCCACGTGCTCACTTTCCATTTCCGGCACGATGGTCTGGAACAGGTAGCCCAGGAGGTGAGTAGCGTCGGCGATTTGAACAACGGCGGAGCCCTCGTTCTTGAACGGGGAAAGCTCTTTGGACAACCCCATTAACATGGTGAGAAGCAAGTCATCAGACGCCTCGGGGGACGGGCACTGCGGTTGCAGCATTTTTCTAAGAATGAAAAATGGGATTTGATTCTCAAGCATAATAATGTCTCTAAGCAAGGCATTATGGGACGATTTCTTCCCCTTAAGGTCGACCAAATGCGACATCTTGGCCGAAATCATGGCGGCCATAAGCTTCCCTTCTTTAACAGCATAAACCTTGAGAAACTCCAGCAAGAACGAGGCGTCCACCGCCATCATCCACGCCAGCGTCTCCACCCTAAGATTCAGCTGTTTGTCGTAGGAAAGCCGAATCCTGGACTCCACTTTCATCATCTCCTCTGCTAGACTGTGCAGCTTTATGGTTCTTAGCTGCTTCTGGAAAATCTTGGCGGCATCGAGCTTGTGCCTCTCCATTTCATGGAGCTCCGGGTTGGTATAATGGTAGGGTCCTATGGCTACTCTTTGTGGGACGTAGCACTCGGGATCATACACCATTAGGGTTTTGGGCACACCGAAAATGCTGACATTGATCTCATTCTCCTCCTCCAACTCTCGTTCTAGGGTTTTTTGGATATGAATAACCCATTTACTCTCGTCATTTTGTATGTTGGGGTTTGAGGTTATGGTTTTTGATTGGTTTGAGGAGGAAGACATGTTTTTGGTCTGTTTAAGGACAAAAAGAGAGGCTTAGCTTTAAGCTAAAGATGGTATGTTTGAAGGAACAGGCTTATTATGTTACAATAGTAGTGTGGTATAGATTTAGATTAGATTGATTAGTATATATAAAGTGACCAAGTATTTAGATTAGATTGATTAGTATATATAAAGTGACCAAGTATTCCTACTTTCTTGTGACTATAGTTTAATCACGAATGTGCTCCTCGTGGCTAATATTCTAATCCCAGACATTCCAACAATAAAATAATAATAGTTAATTAATTTTTAGTTCATAAAAACATTTTCTTCCAAAAGGTTGAATCCCCAACTCTAAGGATCTCTCACATCTGATTTGACAGAATATTTTGAGATGATGTAAATCAGGGTGATTCAGTGACTCAGCAAACATGACCAAATGATAATGCGTATAAAAGATCTATGTACTTTGAGCATATATAAATAGTTTATAAAAAAATACAATTATTATTGGTTGGTGATAATGCAAGAAATTACTAATTAGTAAGTGATGGGCCTTCTTTACCTAATCATTATTCAACCATAATTCTTTAATTTAATTATTGTTCAACTTGCACTACTGTACAGTGGGTACCCTTTCCCACAATCAAAAAATAATGCTCAACTTGCTATAAAAAATAATATTTATCGGATATCTCCATATGTATAATGTGTGAATTTTTTATTTGATGATACTTTCTTTTTATTCTTCATATTCACTCCGTTCTAAATTTATATATATTTAAAGTGGGACCATCAATAATAACAAATCATTGGCCGTGAAAATTGTCTTTCATTTACATTATCGTTGTTGGCGCGCGGAGACTTGAAAGGTTAAATTCAACATCCTTCATCAAAGCGTACCATAATACTAATTGTTAAGTAAATATAAGAATATAAAGTTATACATTTATCGCCATCTATAATTTTTGCCTTAACTTTAAAATCTTGATCTTAAAAATTACAAATTCCGTTAGCATGCATGCATACTAATAAAAATTTCGAATAATATAAATATCTTAAATAATTATATACAAGCATATTAATAAATACAAACACATCAGATGCATGTACACTTCCACATATATATACAAATAATTATAAACAAAATAATGCATACACACATAATACAAAATAGTTCACGTAATATAAAATGCAATATATATATATATATATATATATATATATATATATATATATATATATATACATACACACACACACACATATACATATATGCACACTATATATTGTTCAATCACAAAATAAATAATCTAAATAAGTAATCACAAAAATATATTCAAAGAAAATCAAACCTAAATCTAAAAAAAATGACTTATTTAAATGGTAGTTCTAATAATATATACATATCTACACACTATACATTTTTAAATCACAAAATAAATAATCTAAATAAGTATTCATAAAAATATATTCAAAAAAATCAAACCTAGATCTAAAAAATGACTTATATAAATGGTAGTTCTAATAATATATATACATACCTTAGCTTCATATGATGTTATGTACAACTTGATTTTAACACTATTGTGAATGATTTGGTGAAAGAAAACCTTCAACAATGAAAAAATAAGAAAAAAAATGATGAATAAAAAAATCAGAGAAGAATGGTCTGAGAATGCGTAGAGGAGGTATATATAGGGATGACAACGGGGCAGGGTCGGAGAGTATACTCCCCGTCCCCGTCCCTCTATGCGTGTCATTCTAAAAAAATTTCAACATTCCTGCTCTTGTCGGGGACGGGGCAAATTGCCATCTCTAGGTATATATATAAAGGTGTTTCCGACCATCTTTGGTAGTAGCCGGAAAAATAACACCAATTTAAAATTTAAACTGTCAACACATTTTCGACCACCGTAGTCGTTTGCCGAAAAAAGTGAAAATAAAAAATAAAATAAAATAAAATAACTTTTGGTGGTGACTGAAAATTTAATGATTTTCAACTATGAGAGGTGTGCTGAGAAAGAAATTATTAAACAATGAGATAATTATAATTTTTAATGTAGTGATGAGCTATTAATCTGGCAATGCTCTTTGATGGGAATGGTATGAGTATTGAGTGATGTATTATTAAATAATTAGGAAGATTTAATATCTCGAGATAAGTAATATGTGTTTAAAAAAAAATGTAGTTACATACAAAGTGGCAATGTATTGTTTTCACTTTGCAGTGCTGTAGCACGTGTTCTGACATTTGTTTCCAAGTGACCTGGTTATTCTTATACCACGTGTTGATCATCATGTTTGCATAACTGGTCCAACCTGTCGCTGGGTCAAAGTTAAAAAAATAAAAACAAAAACAATTAAATTAAAGGTAAACAAAGCATTATATTCATTCATTCAAATTAGCATAATCAAGTTAGTGGATCAAATAGTTACAAACTTATTCAAAAAGTTATTCACAAAACAAACCAAATTCGTCTCTCTTTTTGTCATTGATAAGATTTAAATAGTACACCATATAATTACAAGCAGTGAATCAAAAGAGTTTGAAAAGTTAAAATATCACATATTTCTAAAATTCTAGATAACATAATAAGGCAGACTTAAAATGACAGTAGGACAACGTTGTGAGTGGATTGAACTTAGGGATCTCCCGGCGAGCATTCAGAGGTACTTTGATAATGAGCAATACATGGCTGTCACGAGTGACAGCTTTGCAAAAGCCAGATGATTAGCTAGCAGGGTCTCCCCCTCCCCTCTTCTCCAAAAAATAAATAAATAAAATTGCACCATATGATTGCTAGCAAAGTAGAACATTTCAACTTATTTTGTACTGAATTTGATTTGAATTCATCAACTATATATGTGATAAAGTCTGGAAATACTATGAAATTGAATGTTGGGTTTGTATTATTAGCAAAGAAAATTACAAAGAGGTCAACATTAAGGGGGTGTTTGGTTCAAGTTTATATTTGCTTGGAAATATAAGATTCATGTATTTTTTTACAATTTTATGTTTCTTCGTTATCTTTAACTAGAGTTTTTTAAGCGCGGTGTCCTAAAGTTTTCTTTTTAAAAAAAAATCATTTTAATGATACATTTATATAAATAAAATTATATAAAAATAATGAGTGTAAAATTTATAGTAAAATTATAATTATTTTAATTTTTTTTAGGCTATTTGGACCCGTAAAATGGGTGCAAATTTCATTCTTTGTGACAATGCAACATAAGAAGTAATATACGGATTCATCCAAAAAAAAAAAAAAAAGGTAATAAACGGAGATTTAAAAAAAAAAAAAAAAATTGCCACACACGATTCATCCAACAAATGCAAGCTTTAGCTGGCATAAACTGTTCACATGCAACCCACATTGCCATTTAGCATTTAGAAAGGTGGCCATGGGGTCCAATTTTTTATTTTTTATATATAAATATTTTATTATTGTATTTTGTATAGAGTTAATTCTCAAAATAGTCCTCGACTATGACTTTTTATCAAATTAATTCTTTACCTTTTAATTGCACTCGAAATGGTCCTCCGACTATTAAATTTTAAGCTAAAATGATCATTCATTAGTTTTGGTGTTAAGTGGATATTAAAATGAAAAGTAAAACTGGTAATTCAGGTTTTACACTACAATTTAAAGCAATTTGTCACTCCTTTTCTCCGCAAAGTGTTTCTAAGTCTTCCGATTTTCCTTACGAAAGGACCTGCTTTATAAACTATAATCACTTCTAAAATGGTCTCTGGTGTACAAGTAGATTTTGAATAACATCTAAGTGGAATCTTCGAGCAATTAGGTCATCAATTTCATTTGCAACATTTCCAAACTTCTCATCATGATCTAACCGTTCCTTTAAATTGCATAGAGCAAATGGATCACTACGATCCAGTTCAATTAATTAGGGGTTTGTCAAAAAGTTAATTAGGGGAAAATAGCCGCGGGTAAAATATCTAAACAACAAAACATATAAAATGTCCGTTTTGCCCTTATTTTTAAGGACATTTTAACACCAAATCTAAGGGAGACCATTTTTGTTTAAAATTCAATAGTCGAAGGCCTACTACTTTGGTTGCAATTAAAAATCAAGGAACCAATTTAAGAAAATGCTATAGTCGGAGGACTATTTTAGATATTTTCTCTTTTGTATATTATGTATACTAAAAATAAATTAGTATTTATTTAATATTTAAAATTATTTTTTTTTTAAAAAAAGAGTAATATTGACCGAATTATTTCTTGCAAAATATTTACTCTAAATTACTATATATTTTATTAAGAAACTTTTTGTTTCTAATTAGCAAAATCTTTCTAATTTCCTAAACATAGTTATTACTTATTATCTATCTACTTTTCAAAACATATTTATTACTCCACATAACAATATCCAATAATGTAAAAATATCAAATTGGCAAACTACAAAATAAATTGTAATAATAAAAAATACATAAGATAATGAAACATAATAAAACGAGCTACATTTTTTTTTTGTCTTAATTGTTCTCATCAAAATGAATTCTTTCATTTGTCTCAATTAATAATTGTTATCTATCTGCAATTAAATTTTACAATAAGACGCAAAAATACATATATAAATCAAGATATTTAATTTAGTTCGAAAGTCGAAACAATAATGCAAGTAATTAAGTGCCGTTTGTGCCTTATCATCATTCAAAAAAAAAAAAATTAAAAAAATCTTTAGTTTATGCCCAACTTGCAATACAGAAACATATCCTTTTATTTAGTGATACTTTGTCTTTATGTTCATAAAAACTGACAAATCTCGTTATGGCATTGATAGGCACGTAGTGTGTAAGGATTGACTAGTAAAAGCGAATAGCAAATTGTTCAAACCGGTGGCCTTCTATTTGGGAGATCGAGTCGGCTCGACCACAAGGTCTTTACGATGAATAATTAGTTTATTATTAAATAATTTAAAAAGTTAGCATCTAGTGATAACTAATTTTTGTGTGTTGAAAGAGTTGTACGTTTTTATTACTGTCCCACATGTGTGTAAACCTTTGTTTTCAATTTGTTCCTCTTTTAGCACGTGTTGTTAAGAGCAATGTATTTTTAATAATAATAATAATAATAATAATAATAATAATAATAATAATAATATATGATCACGTTTATAAGTTTAG